AAAGCCACCCTTCGCAGCCCTCCTGTCAATTTAGCTGGGTCATAAATTTCAATATTGTACTCGTTTTTTCGGGTGGATCGAAGTCGAGGAACTCCGGGGCGATATCTATGCGGGTTATCTTCGGTGTGACGTGTGGTTATCGGAAGAATGGAACACTATCCCAACTATGCCATAATTTGCTTTAGAATGGTGTGATCGTTTCTGTCTGCTTCTCCCATTTTCCCCTTCACATTCTCGTGTGGGTTTTTTATGGCCAGAATTGTTATATCTTAATTTTCTTTAATGGTTTATTATGATCCGACTGCAGTTGGCTTTATGTTTGCCCTGCGTGCCAAACCCGCTGCCACCTTTCCTCCTCTACACTGATAATTTCGTCTGATTGTCAATTGTTTTCTTCGTTTTCACATCAATTTTTTCGTTCATTTGCGATAATGATAATAATATGTAATAATATTTATTTCGATGCCCGCCTGTCGTCTGTCCGTCATAAATCGTGCTTATTTATGGGAAATGAGATTTGTAGTGGCGCATTAATTGTCCGTCCGTCCGTCCCTCCGTCCGTTTTATTTTCTATCTCTTTCGCTGGCACGATCGGAATTCGCAGCTAAGAGGATTGAACTCATTTCCGAGCGATGACATTGATATTTGCCACAATCTGCAGTACTTGCGTTCTACATACTAACTTGCAGATAGACTCGCTAATGAGGCGTATACGATGTTAATTAAATTGTTTACTCGATTAACGCAATCTCGGGTTGTTCTAAGTACTATATAAATATAATTTTGAGTCTCTGATAAGTTCTTAGGTGAATTATTCGGTTTGTTTTGAAAATAATATACCAGCACAAAAGTGGTTTTTTAGTTATTTTAATTAATCTCCTCCTATATATACTATTTAATTAAACATTTAAACCTACCCCCTACCGTTATAAGTGATATCGTACATTGTCATTCCACCGCGTGAGCAATTCATCTTGCAACTCAGTGAGATTAATGATCACTCAATTGATCGCCAAGATTTATGAGCTTTAAATTGATCCAACTCATTTGTAACTCGGTGTCTTAACTCTTTAAGTCCTTGGTACCAAATTGATTTGTCAGTGGACGGTTTGTGGACTGCGGAAGGGCGACTTAAGGCAGTCCAACCCAAAACCGAAAAACCAACTGGGATGCCAATGCTATCTGAGTGCTCGGAGCGACTCGATTCCTGGGAAGTGAGCTGTTATGGGATGTCTTTAATGCCCATTGACAGAGCGCCGGGTGCAGTCCAGTCTACAAAAACAACACGAACTTCAGCAACAACATCAGCGACAACGCCACTGGTTGTCTAGTTAATGCTAAAGTTAAGGCGAAATTCCCCCTGAGAAACAAACAAAAGCGCAGACGATCGATCGACAAAGTACAAACAAAAGGCATGCCACAAGGAAAAGAGTCGCGGAGGGGGCTCAACCAAAGGGAAAACGGGGGATTCGGGAAGAAGGGGGAAGGTGGTACCACCCAGGAAAATCACGATGACGAACTGATGCCTGGGCAGATACAGATACATGGCCCGCAAAAGGAAACAACGACAGAGGCAACACCTCTTGTTAGTTTTACTGATCATGATCATGACAGGGAAAGGGAGATCCGTTGACTACACTGATCGAAAAGGAAGTATTTGCTTATTTGGTAATGTTTCTCACTACGATTTTAGATCAAAAACTACCTACAACCTAATAAAGTTCAATAGATTGTAACAGTCGAAAAATATTTTAATAACTTTAACAATAAAGTTTTGTTTAGTAAAAAAGCTTCATGAATAATTAAACTACTTATGTTCAGTTCTTAAGTGAATTCAAAAATATATCGGTTAACCTTCAACATAAGCCCACCGATTACAAAATACAGAGTTCTGGAAGTAAATTATATAGATAATATTATATTTTCACCACCAATCCATAACTTACTTTCTTTTTAAGCCGACTGCGATCAGTGTAACCATTAGAGCCCTGCCCACTGGACAAACTGATTGGGGCACGAACAGGCGAAACTCCTTCGTGGGTCAATCATCGGGTTCCGACTCCAAGATGCAGTTGGAGTTAGGGTCTGAGGCGAGTTCATGTTTCACAGTTTGCAAATAACTCTAATCGGGCTTTTCTGCGCTGGTGTGTGGGTGCCTCCAACATTTATAACTCCCCCTCCCGGGAATCCCACATTTTCGTCTTCTTTTCGGATCTGAACAAGCCATGCATTGTAAGTTCATTAGCGGCCCAAGTGCACGATCGTCGGTCGTTGTTGTTGTTGTTGTTGTTGTTTGTGCCCGATGTTGGATGGCGGATCGGACTTTCGTTCGCCCTCCTCCACTTCTTCCAAAATGCATATAAACATGAGATTTTTCTGCACCTCCTGGCCAGACTTTTATTTTCAATACCCTTTTTAGGATCGGGTTGACTTCAGCAAGTAGGTTGTTCGCCATGATAATTGGACTTAAATAAATATCACTATTTTAACTTAGCAACTAAATGTACACATATGTTTGATATAGAATACAGTTTGGAAACTTATCTAAAATTCAAAGAGAAGTTATCACAAAAAGATTTGTTTAATAAGAACTAGTAGTATTAAAAAACGGTGTGACTCGTTTATACTAAGCTTAATTTAAGTAAGCTAACTCTTCTGTCTCCAAAAAAAAAAAAAAACGGCTCTCCAACTGGAGAGCTGTGTTTCGAGTAATTAGTTTTAAAATAACGGTTAAAACTCAGAATTTTGACAGTACATATGACACTTATATAAAATGTATTATACAAAATTGGGCAGACTAACGTTAAATTCAATTCTGTTTTTAGGGTATATTCATTTCGGTCATTGAAACTTGTCTTCGATGCCTTGTTAATTTTTTCGTTGCTTTGGAATACCTGAGATCTCCTCCTAACTAACTAGGCAAAATCACTCATACTTGCAACTGAGTGCACCACATGTGGTCCGAAGAGCGGAGAACCGGCTCGCCAGGAGCAAAAGAGGGCGGGACGGGGAGGCGGGAGAGAGAGGATGGAGAAATCTTGAAGCGGCACCCTGCAGCTAAAAGAACGGGGTGTATTGAACCGCAGCACAGGGAACACAACAATGAGAGCGGAGTCAAAGCCAAAAGTCAAAACGTGAGCCTGGATTGCAGGCGATCTTGCGTTTCCCCCTCCCTTTCGCCCACTTCCTTCTTCCCTTGCCCTCTTCTCTCTTTCCCACTCCCGTAAACCTGCCCGGACCTGGAAGTTTTTTGTGTTCTACCTTTTTATCGCTCTTTTAGCAAGCCAACCGGTGACGCTAACAAGGCAAGAACAACAACAACGGGGCAGAAGAATGATCGAAAGGGGTTTTCGGAAGAGTCGATGGGAGAGCGAGAGGGAGAGAGAGCGCAAGAGAGAGAAGGAGCTCGTGGGCTGACGGCGTTATCTGGTAACAACGTGTTACGAATTACTTTTAACAAGACCCTTAGCAGATAAAAACCAGAAAACCGGTCTAGAGAGGTTAAAACGAGAGAGCGAGAAAGAGCGGTGGCCGGAAGAGAGTCTTCGACAAAGAGCGTGCGATTGGAACGTGCGCTCATTAGCGAGGTGAGCACATAAACAGGAAGGAATTGCAATTAAGGCCTGGCTTATAGAGTTCCTGTTAAAAGGAAATAGACTCTGTATACCCACCACCACCGAAGAAAGTCAAAGAACTTGCTGAATTTTCAGCAGGGTGCACTGGGAAAATCAGGGAGAAAAAAGCGGAGAAAGAGAGAGTGAATGAAAAACCTGAAAATACGCCAGACAACAACAGATGCGTCTGAAAAAATGGGTGGAAAGAGGTTGTCGGGCGGGGGGGTGGTGGCTTGGCATGCGAAACGCAGCACATGTGCAGCGAAAAGAGGAAGAGCCATCAGGCAAGGAGCGCAAAGAGAGAAGGGAAAGGGAGCAGGACGAGGAGCAGCCAGGGGAAGCGTAGCTGTCAATCTAGTCGTGGATTTGTCACCCGGAGAGAGTTGACAATTTCTATATGGGGGTTGAGAAATCGCAAGTGGGTTAAAAATAGAAAAACAATAAATTCTAGCTAACCAAGTAAAAAAACGAATTTATACAAATCCCACTTACTTGAAAAACAATCTCTAAAATAATTTCGTTATCCAAAAAATGTTTTTTAACTTAAAAAGCTTAATAACATTGTAATGGAAATACAGAGGTCAAACAATTTGCATTACGTAGCTTTAATCTCAGCTTTTTCTGTGCTGAGATTACAAATGTAATTCAAATTCCTAAGTACAAGCACAAAAAATGGCTTTACAAGTTGTTATTTCATAAAATTAAGCTCTAAGAAATCATTAAAAACGGGAAATGTATAAATAAATAAGGAACTCCTATCCCAATAATAATATAGACTACTAAAGCGGAAATCGCCGACATAAAATCATATTTATTTTGGCATTGTAACAGTAAAACTCACCTTAGCAATGCCGAGCAAAAACAAATGCAGCCATTAAAACTTGACTTCCTTTGCGTATTTATTTAGCTTATGCAAAAAGTAACGAAATGCAGGGCAAGGCAAACAAAAAGAAGCAAACCGTAAACAAAACATTTATTTAGCTGCATTTATCGCATGCTATAGGAAAGCGTTCTCTCCCTCTTCCAATCTCTCTTCGCAATCACCCTCTCTCGCCGTCCTCCCCCACAATTTTCGGCCATGGTATCGTTCGGGCTCAGTCCGTTAACGTTCAGTGTATATTTCGAATACTTATACCCTTGCAGAGTGTATTATAATTTCAGTCAGAAGTTTGAAACGCAGTGAAGGAGACCCTATAAAATGTATATATATATATTTTCTTGATCAGCATTAGCTGATAAAAGACTGATTATGCTACCATATAGTTCGGTAGGAAATATCATACAATTTCTTTTAAAATCGCACTCATTGTAAGTCTTGTTAACGCACTGTCCACCCGACGAGACTACCTTATACTTGTTCTACCACGACGACTTGCGGCTCTCCAGTTTTGGCCTCAGTTCAGTTCTCTTTCAACGATCGCAGAGTTCGGTTCACTCGGGCTCGAGTTCACTGTCGCTCGAGAATAAATCCAAAAAAGAGACTCGCGGACCCCAATTGCACCTTTCAAACGGCAATTAATCAATGGAGAAAATAAATAAATACATATGAGTACCTTTCCTTTGTGCGCAAATCGAAAGCAGTGACAATAGCCGAAGGCAACCGCGAGTAAAAAGAAGTTTAATAAAAGTGGCGTCCTCCAAACAAACGACAGAAAATACAGAAAACGAGTTATGAAAATACAAATTGTGGCCGTGCCATGTGAGAATGTGTGTTGAAAATTGTTATAACGAAACGAGATTTGCCGCTTGTGGTCGTTGTTATTGTTGCTATTCCGATCTGTGATCGGTGATCGACAAGCGTCAACTGAAATTGGATTTTCGGCGCCCACCGTGACAAAACCAAAAAAAAGATATATAAAAACACCCATCCTACACATCAACACCTGAGATAGCGACAACATTTGGCGCTACATGAAATTTTAATTAAAAAATCTGTCCGAAAATAAAGTAGAAATTACTTGCAGCGGCAAAAAGTTTCTATGAGAACCGGCGCATGTATCTGTGAATCCGCCAGATACTTAGTATCCGTGTGTGCCTGCATCTCCAGGTGTCCGTGCGCCTGTGTGAGTGTTTGATGTAAGCAGACGTGAAATTGGATTAACTTTGACAGACGCACGGCGGTTTTTAATTACCAGCAAGAGTTTTTTGGGATTACCAGCGGAAAGTTGGACAGCTCCCCAGGTAAATATCATTTTCGGAGGCGGGGAGTCCGTGGATTTCCATTACACTGGGCGTCAGAGATCAGTTGCGGGAGATCCGTTTAATGGGATGTGCCAGTCAGTCAAAACCTGGGGAAGAACTGATCTGCAAATGGGGGAAAAGTCTGGGAATACGTATAGTTCACAAGTCGAGCATATGGAAACAACTTGTTCCCAGGATTACTTGAATGCTAGATTATCTGTTCTGTGGGGGGAACTTCTGGTTTAATAGCTTTTAACATGCAAATGCAGTTGCAGTACAAATAACTGTTTGCCAGATTTTCTAAATGTGGGAGTAAAATAAATTAAACCCATTCAGCATAAAAAAAAACCAAAGAATAGAGCTTGGGAGCTATACTCCGTTTATATGGGTACACTTCTGGAGGATCTCCAAATAATATTAAATAGACTTAAGCTTCATAAATCTTTGTGGGAACCTTCGAGTTGATCCCTCTGAAAATAATACAAATCCAGTGGGTCAAAAGCTCATTGAATATTTAACCCCAACAACAGTTACACATGGTTATTTTTACCGTTTCACTCGTTTAGCCAGCTCCAGCACCTTATCTCTGCTCGATTTCTGTTCGGCTGGCTTTTTGTTTACTCAACAACAAAAATTGCGTCCGCTTCGTTCTTTTTTTCGACAATTTTCGTTTATTTCGTTCGAATCAATATTGCCGTCAAATGAATGGAGAACCACTAACCGAAATCTTATCTCCCGCGGGGGAAAAGTGGGGTTCGGTCTGGAATGCTAGTGTGTGTCTACATTATTTCATTATTTGTTGTCAAAGTTTCGGCTGCCGAGGCAGCGACTACCAGAAATACTACCATGCAATCGATAGAGCTGGAAAATCAGTAAAAAAAAAAAAAAAACGAAAAAATAAGAGGGAGTGGAGATAGAGGGAGAGCGCAGATTGCAGGTGCCGGCTGGCTGACTCTACCTGGAAAAAGTTGGAGTTGGTGGCTTGTCTCTGGTCTCTGGTCTTCGGCTTAATCTGTGATCAAGATAAGCCATTGCATGTCGATCGTTTCGTGTTCGAGATCCCAGATCCCCTAGATAGTTTTCTCCTCCTTTCTCTCCCGCTTTTTGTGTCGCCGTGTGGAAAATTATGTTCCTCTGCGGTCATAAATTATGCGTAACGCGACACCTTCGTCTACAGGTTTCCAATGTGTCGTTAAATATTTTATTTCATTTTTATAGCTTTGCCATTGGTTTTCGCATGAAGCGCAAGGGCGGAGGACTCGGATCGTTCGCACACGAAATGATTTCATTAATTTTCAGTTAACAGCAGACGCTCCCAAGGTTAGGCTCTGGCCAAAGGCAAAGGCAGAAAGGTGTTGCTGTTGCCCCAGCTGCCCGGCCGAGCCGGCTAAAAAATATCAATTTACATACGGAGACGCAGGGACATCATGTGGTGCTCTCTGTGCCCAATTCCCGATTCCCGATTCTCGATTCTTGGTTTCTCCTCATGAGTCTGGCCCGCACTTTCGCAATTCGAAAAATTGCGCTTTGTCACACAGCAAACGACTTTCGGCCGCCTGCTGCGGCGACACTCAAATGCCAGGCCGTGCTGTTTGCTCTCCTCTGCTGGTTGCAACTGCCGAGTGTTGCCTGTTGCCACGGCACAGTGGGCCAGGTCCGGTAAGTGTAAGGACATTGAAGGTTAAAGTAAATGGGGTTCCTTAAAAGTCGCATTTCCGACATAAAAGCAATTTAAGTAATTAAACAAATCAATTTCTTATATTAAATTAAATTCCAGCTTAGAAATTAGAAGTACCATGCAACACAATACAATTTTACCTGATCATTTCATAAAAAAAAAGCAATACAGTTTTCTAATAAAGTAAAAATTGAGTAAGTCAAATTCAGGAACTTAATAAATTGTCTCATTTTTTAATCATACATATGCTAACAAAAATGCTATGGTGTTTGGCATGAAAATACTTTGTAAATTGACTCTAAGGGTTATTTCCGTTTCACTTTTAGTTCCTCGGAATTTCAGCAACCCTTTCCAAATGCAAATCCTTGACCACTGTGCCCAGTGACCTCCCGCGGTTTTCCGGCATGTCTGGTTGTCTGGCTCCCCGTAACCTCTCCCTCCTCCCTCCCCGTCACTCAAACAGGTGATCATTTTACAAACGGTCCTGGGCTACCTGTTCCCGCTGGACCCGCCGATCCGAGAATCCCGAAAGTCGGCCATAAATTATGTTTTGTTTGGTTTTTGTTGCTCGCTGCTTTTTGTCTCCTTCACTGGGCTTGGCTATAAATTTCTCGTTGACTCTTTCCACTTGTCAAAGTCTTTCATTTTCTTGGTGCCCGACGGCTTTTTTTTACGATTTTTCGGGGTCTCCTTCAGCTTAATTGTGATTGCGAGGGGATTATCTCGTTTTTTTAGCAATTGGCTGCTGCGAAAATTTATTGACAAGCGCATTGACACTCGGCCAGTGAGTCAGTCAGTCACTCACTCAGTCAATTCAGTGGGGAGACGTCAGTTGACTTGTCACTCGCGACGGGTTTGTCAGTTTTGTACTTTTGTATCCTGGCAACCGTTTTTTGCTGATCAGCCATGATGGAGCTGTCAGCTTAGGCGCTAATGTGCATACTAATGTCGGATGCTTCACGAGGTTTATGGCAACATGAGTGGGAATCGACGGGCAAACTCTTTCGGAATGTTCTGGGATTTAAGATTGTAGCGCAACAAGTGCTTAGGATTTAGGATGCCTTAATGGAATTGGTTTAATATTATACATTTAAAATATATATACATTATAAAATAAATAATAATGAAAAATGAATTTAATAAAAACAACAAATTTAAAAAAAATTCAAAAGATTTAATTCATTTTTCTACATTTCCCATAAAATTCCAAAAATTGTATAGTCATTATTGTTGTCAAAACACTCGAATGGCACTGAGAACATAAGTCAAACGAAGCAAATGGACAGAAACAATTACAGCACAATGTTGTCCTATCATTCTCAATTTATTGAGACCGCAATCATCATCTGCCACATGTGGCTTTCAGTTCCACCTTTTGCCTGTTCCACCTCCGGAGGCAATTTGTCCGCGGGCAGTGGCATTGTGTGTTCCCATGATCATTTACCGATCTTGTTATAATTATAAAACCCACAATTGTCTCATTGCGGGTATCCTCTGCCTCTGACAGAGTCTAATCATGCTGAGGCCCGGGTAACTCCTCCAACGGGCAACCGGCAATTTACGGGCAACCCGAGCAGCGACCCTCGCAATTATAAAAGCATTTCCCTCTCGACTCCGGCTGCACTGGCACTTTCTGGCCCTGTTTTTCTCTCGGTACACATGGCTTGTTTAAATAACACCAACGTATTGATTAATTTTCGAGGCAGGGTTGAAGACGGGACTTGACATGGTTCGGAACGGGCCACAAGCAGGTCTCAAGTCGTCCATCAAACTGGCCAAGCCAACTCGAGCCCCGTGCTGCAATTCATCAAACTGCGGGCCAGAATGTGTTGGCCTTCTTCCTTGTTTCGCTGCACAGAGAGAAATACTTACTAGATCGATACAAGAGATTTTGAAATGTTTGTCCTTCAAATAAAAGCAATATAAATACAGAAACTGAACTCCATTTACCATCAACTTTTTCAATCAAACTCAAAATGTGTTGCCATTTTTTTTCGAAGTGCCCTCGTTTTTGTTTTGCCTCGTTTTTGTTTGATTTATTCTGCAGCTCCTTCAATTTTCCCCATTCAGTCATATCATTAGGCTGGGGGCTCTCTCTTTCCCCGGTTTTTTCGTAACCCCTGCCCATTGTGGTTGGCGGAGGAAAACCGAAATCAATTTGACATGATTGCCATGGATCATAATTTTTTCTTTCTCTTTTATTCGGTCGGTTTCTTCGGCGCTTTCTTTGGGCCCCGAGATTTCGGCGTTGTGTGTTTGTTTTGAATATTTTGTTTGCCGGCTATTAGGTTTTGATTATTTATGAGCTGAACCCATGGGGCACACACACTCGCCACAGAAAATGCTCATGGCTCGTTGGAATTGGCCCGGCAATTAGCCAACACAACCGCCTCTCTAACCGAAAAACGATTATTTGTTTTTAAATGAAAAATCACCGTAAACTCACAGAAAACCCGAAAGACAAAAGAAGAGCAGCTTTCGGTACCCTTAGATCTCGCACTTTTAATATTATTTTAGCATGCAGGCAAACTATTTGTCTTTGGCCAACAATCAAGCTGAAATTGCCTTTTAATGGCAGTTTACTTATTTATTTATTTGTTTATCTTTGCATATCTTAAAGGTTTGCCAACTTTAAAGGCAGCTAAAAATGAAGAAAAAACCTCAGTCTCCAGACCGATTTATCTCTTATAATTTTTCAATAAATTTATTGTTTCTCGTTTTCCTTTTGTTTGGCTTGCGTTTTTTTTTGGCGATTGCTTACGAGAAACATTTATTATGCATAGTTTGGTTAGACAGGCGAGCAAGCTATCAATTTTTCACCTTTCGTATCTGGCAGATACATCAAACAAAAAGTTGAAACTTGTTGCTTGCGTCTCGGTTTTGTGGCGGTGTTTGAATTTCTGGCGGTGCTGCTTGCTAACTGTGTCGCTAAATGTGCTGTGCCGTGTGTTGTTGGAGAGATAAATTCCATAAAAATCAACAGCAACACACTCTAAAATCGACGACTACCCAGCCAACAACAACAACAACAATAACAATGAGGAATGAGAAATGACAAAGGCAAACGACTACGACGACGACGACGCTATCTGAGGGAGAACTGATGATGATTTATGAGCGTCAGAAATCAAGTAGAAAATTACGGTAATAGAAGAACACAAGGCGGACTGCACACAGATACGCACAAACTCTCAGATACACCTTCCTTTTACCTAGGCTTCCAACTTTACCCGAGAGGTTAGCACCACCGACAGTCGAAAATACAAACAAAATCGACGACACCGAACGTTGGGCAATTTTAACTAGAATTTATTTCGGGCTTGGGCAAACCAAACATAGAACGAACACGAAAAACGATAAAAACGAGTCTTCCAAGAGCGTTTTGTTGGGGGAAATATTTTTAATATGCTAATTGCCAATGCAAATATTTAGATTGCGCCTGGTTGAAGCAATTTGCATTTTATTCGAACCAAACTAAAAGTGTCGGTTATAAATCCAATGGCACACTCTCACGTGTGGGAGAATAAGAAATACAAAAACAGATATAGAAACAGAAACAGATATTTATGGCATCTTTTCATTCGTCGGGCATCAGTTTCGCCTTGAGTCTAATTCATTTAGCAAGACGACACCTTGTTAGAGCCCTGACTTATGACGGGATGCGGGGGGATATTTTCCAGCTGCCATGTGTGGGGGTTTTAGCTGGAAATGTAGCGACTAGGTGTTAATTTTGTTTGTTATTCGAGCCAGTCGCCAGCCCCCAATCCCAAGGAACAAATAGTTCACCAGCGAACAACAACGAAACTCGGTTCTAAAACGAAAATTCCCATTTAAAATGAAAATTAACAAGCATGCGGGCGGGTGTAGGTGTTGGAAAATCGAGGGGCGGGGCAGGGGAGTGACCGCAACAAGTGGAAAATCGTTATGGAAATTATCTTTGGGGGTCATTAAAAATTTGGGGTTAACAAGCTTCAACTTAAGGCTTAGCTCCGAATATATTTTATTATCTTTAGCCGGTAATAAACTTCCTTCAAGAAAACGATTCGGAATGCATTTTAATCAAAGTGAGTCACAAGTTAATTTACACAGACAAACGGAATTCCTCAGATTGAATAAGATTCGCTGGTCTTCTTAGAAAGTTTCCCTGCCTCATCCTTTTGATCACTCATTCCCCCAAGAACCCGAGAAGCCGAGAACCGAACGAAAACAAGCCAAATGAAACTTATTTAATATGCCTTATATAGAAAGCAGTTAATTAAATCGACCCTGTAGGAGGGCGGCTGTTTCTGGAGCTTCCCTTGAAATCAGTTAACAAAAGCCCAAAGATAAACAGAGGCAGTCGAGAGGATGCAACAGAAAGGGGCAGGCAAAGGGGCCACAAAGACCACAGAAACAGAATCGAAGAAAGAAGGAAAGGAGCTGAGTTGAGTTCAGTTGAGTTGCGTTGCGTTGAGTGTATAAAATGCCCAAGTTTAAACAGAATTCAGATCGAGATCCGAGGAAGGAAGGGCAATGGATGGGCAGGCATCATTAATTCTCACCCAAGTGTTGCACGACGACTGGAGCGCTTTCCTTCCCCTTCCGCTGCCCGTTGTGCATATTTCCAATTAAAGCGACTTGCAACTCTAATGAACTTGAAGATATCAATCTACGCGCTGTTAACCCTAAAAAACCGCAGACAGGCGGCTGCGAAGAAGTCCGGCACGAAATAAATGTCAAGCTAATTAAAAGGCAGGGAAAAATCTGAGGCTGCAATCGAGCATGCGATATTACTCATAAATTTCACGTCTCGTCTCTCGCCGAGGGAACTTTGTTTAGAGGCAGCAAATTAATTGAAATAGCACCAAAAATAGAAGCCGCAACCGAAGTTTCTGTTGCATGTATCCAACAGATACGCATCTCTGGGATGCATCTTCGCACATGTTTCGCTCTCAGTCCATTGCGACTGGTACTGAAAAGGAAGCGCTCGGCTCGCGTTAAAACAAACAAAAACATATTTTTCTTATAAACAGAACTCTGAACAAAATAATTTTATTTTCAGCAGGCAGCATCAGGTTCTCTTGTATTTGTATCTTCCTTTCGCTCCACCTCTCTTAAAAGTGCACTTGAAGAAATAAATGGTTGGTAGTTTTTGGTATTACAATTTAAGTTGAATAATTGAATAGTAAGGAGTTCTCAGTTGCGTAGAAACTATTGGTATAGTATGCAATTTATAATATAGTAAGCTATTATTCGTTTGTTTTTAGTGTATAAAATAATTTTTGGGCTCTAAAGAATATCCCCTATTTTCCTCTGTGTACTTGAGTATCTTTTTGGGCTCTCGCATCGAAACATAATTAATTTCTGTTTGTTTAAGGTCTGCGCCTGCAACTGACTGTTGTTTCCTGCGACGGCGATGACTATGGCGATATTTGCCTTCCTCCGAGCGGAGCGGAGATTCGAGAACTGAGAAGGGGTGCTCCGTACTCCGTGCTCCTTGAGATTCATTGGAATTTCAATTTTCAAAAACGATACTCCACACAATACATATTCATTGTCGTCGCTCGCCGTCGTGTTGGGCATTTAAATGCTCGCTCATAAATTTGTTTTCTGCTTTTTGCAATGTCATAAATTAAACATTTTCGAAACTGATACGCTCCGCCCCTCCCTGTGACTGCCCCTTTAGTTTTTATTGATCAAGTCAAGTTGACATTCGATGGAGAGAAGGAAGGAGCGAGACAGCGAGAATATTTTGCCATAAATTATGCGCCTAATTAATTGGCCTACAAATTCCAATTCCTCCGCTCAGAATCTTTCCCAGTTAATTAGTCAGAAACAGAAAAGCGAATCAAACGAGTCTTTGGAGTCTGAAAGGCTTTTAGATTCTCCATCTTGTCTCGGCAGGTTGTTCTTTTCATTTTTTGTAGTTTGAATTTCTAAGATTTGTATGGAAATGTATTTGTGTGTCGCAGATTTATAACTTTGGATTCACATTCAAATTGGGTTTTTCTCGGAATTTGATTTGTTCAACGCTTTAAATTGAATAAAGAATAATCTCTCAGATTTCTTCTGCCAGAGATTTATAATGACAAGTTTGCTTTATTTAGAAATACAATGAAAAACTGCGCATCAAATAAAGTTTCGGGAAGTGTCATAAATGTTTTTGTGGTTGAGATAGATGAATTATGAAGCTTATGAACAACAACTAGAATTGTTGTACAAGGTTGTATAAGATCATCAGATCTCTGTATTTCTTGACTTCTCTTTAAGAAACCCAAGCGTTTTCATCACTTCAAACACTCTACAACACATTTCTAAATTGGGTAATACCCTGGTCTGCCCAAGAATTCAATTACAGATAAAACACTTCATCTTCTCGCCATATTTTGCCATGATCTCGTGTCCTATCTCTATTAGGCAAGCCATAAAAGACGGAGAACGCAAAAGCCGGAGGCAGACGTTCATAATTAAAAAATTGTCATTTCGTTGCCGTTTGCTTAACTTTATCTGCAATTGGTTACAGCAGAGATTACACCTGGCAAATTGTGGCGAGGGGGTGGTGGGGTGTAAATCAAAGGCGGCAAATTGTGGGCCCACAAGTAATCCTCATTGTTGCTCCTCCGGCTTATCTGGGTTTTCTTGGCTCGGTTTGGCTTTGGTTAGGCAAATCTTTTGCGGCACTCCCACACGGACAGTTTCAGCTACAGTTTCAGATACAGATACAGAACCAGCTACAGATACACAGATACAGATACGGATACGGGGGCAACCTCTTGTGCGACTCTTCTTTATTTGTCGCTGGCTGATTAAACTTGCATTATATACACACATAAATACATGTACAAAGAGTGCCGTTAAGGCAAACATCAACAAGGCGCGTTCTTTAATAAGAAGTAAAAAAAGTCGGCAGGGAGTGAGAAAAAAGTTAATTAAATTGTAAGCGAGTCGCTGCCTCCTTCGCTTCCATTGGCACACACGCAACTTCTTCATCATCCGGCGAATGTCTGGCCCCTTAATCCCGTGGCGTGATTAAAGTAGTCCACTTTCGGCTAGGCCGAGGGATAAAGCTCCCCCCCCATTTTCCAACCCCACCCACGCCTTCCCCCTTTTATCCGCCGGCTTTTCCTGTTTGCCTTTGGGGAGCTGCTACTTTCCTCCGTTTTTCTTTCGTGGCTCCTCTCCGTTTGAAGTGCTGCCGCAGAGACAACTGCAATTGTTCTTTAGCCGCCCACAAATTTATTGTCCAAATATTAACATATTTGCCCGGGCACCCCGAACATAACTCAGGCCGCAAATGGTGGAAACTCCTTTCTGCCCTTTCGGACAGCCCGTAAATTATGTCGCCAAATGCCTTTTTTCCAGCAGATTTTCTGGCATAAATCCGGTTTTATGCTCATTGCATAATTAAGTTATTTGGCCTTTAATATTTTCTAATTATACAAGATTTATAAACATTTTTTACGACCCCTTTTACGATTAGCAAGATTTAGCGATGCTCGAAATCTCCGCGCTGGGATTTCTTTTTTATGGAAGTTGCTTAGTTTAAGTTTTTATAGCTGAACCTAAAATCGTTATCAGATTACTTATCAGACTTCTCGTACCTCTTTTTGCATCTCATTACAGCTGGGCGGAATTGTATGAAGCGGCAAATCAACCAGAAAGCAGCTAAACCAACGGAATGGAAAAAATGGTAAGCGGAGAAATGTTTGAACTAATGAATTCTTAAGTTTAGATATTTTTAAAAATATTTGTAGATGATTTGACTTGAGAAATGTTAAAAGAAATAAGTAACGGCTGTATAGTTTATTTTATTTAAAACTAGTGAACCCGGCGAACTCCGTTCCGCCACCAGATGGCGATAGTTTTATGTAAAATTTCGTTTGGCGTTTAAAAGATAAAGAATTTTTTTTTTGTTTTATACAAAGGAAAAATTTTATTTCGATACCATTAAAACTTTGGCCATTGCTGAGTGTTTTGCAATATTACACGTTGGTTCTTCAATAATTTGAAGATTTAACGGTAATTTTAATGCTGAATGAGCCGTTTGGCATCCTTCTAACAATATGGCTGCTATTCCCGAAGAAGCAACTGCAACAGCTATGTTGGACCTCGCCCGAACAGTTGCTAAAGCTAATGACATGAGGAATGTCTTGCCAGTTCCACCAGGGGCATCTAGGAAATATAAACCACCATTTTCTTCATCGATTGCCTTCATTAAAGTATCATAAACTTTCTTCTGTTGGGAATTCAACAGGGGTACATTCGTTTGAACTAATAAATTTAATTCCTGGTGATCATATTCACGTTCCCGTTCTAATTCTCGATTAAATGCCTCATTCATATCACGATTTGGCGCTGGCATTCTAACCTGATTAATATATTACCGCACATGAGGTAACACATATCTTCGATCAAGAGTAAAACCCGATTATGTATCATCATTCATCAAATTGTTCACAATTAGGATGGCGACTTCGTCTATTGTTGGAGCATTAAATGTCCTTTCGTGTGTTCCAGATGGTCGTTTATCTGTTTTTATGACAACTTTATATCATAGTCATCATTTAGCATGCGCTCTAAAGCACTCTTAAACAACCTTACCATCGCATGATGTTCACGAAGCAGACACTGCAAGTCTTGAAGAATTGGTCGCTTCATTCCTGTATTGATCCCTAGGTGTCGATCAAGTTGTTCTTCCATGTTGCCCATGAAATATATATTTTTTTAATTTTTTTTGTGTATCTTCGAAACATAGTAATGATCCAATTCGCTGGTGAATCTGCCCTTGTATCTAAGATAAAGTAAGTTATTCTTTAACTAAATTCTATGTATGTTATACCAAAAAAAAACCTTAAATGTCGGATTAAATCCTCGTTCTTCGATAATATCTGCCCCAAATGACGTCATTTGGAAACAACCATTGTATTTTCGAGTATTTGCAGGAAAGTGTCGTGATTCTTGTGTTTCACCACAAAGCAGTGAATACAATGGCTCAGGTGGCGGAGTCAACAATGGCAATTTCACTTTACCATTAAAGCAGCATAATTCAGGCGTTTCTCCGTAAAACTTCAACGCACCGCAATACTTGCAAACAACGTCCATTTGCCCAATGCAAACGCTGGGATGCAAGCTGTAATCAGTGATGCAATCGTATTGAAACACCTCTCGATTCAAATCAGCACTTGAAAAATATCTTTTGCGTCGCAAATTATCTATTTCTTGACCTCTGTTGTAAGCTCGACGATTCTGCATTGTCAACCGAGCCGTGTTACGGGTTGCCTCACTTTGCACGAAGTCGACCCATACTAACGCGGCGCTGTTCGCGTGCAATGTTTTGTTCTCCTTCAGTCCTTTCATTTGCAGTATTTTGTAGTCTTCTTGAATTACGGCTTTGTCGGGAAAGATTCGATCGTCTTGGTTGCGGCATTATTAATTAAACTTCACTTCACTTCAATTCACCAAAATCACAAATAACTTCAATTCACTTCAAAAAAATTGAGTAAAAATGCTAAGGTAGTGTGTGCTTGTCAGTGGGATGAGGTTATAACTCAGTTTATATGCGATTTTTGGTATGTCGAACGGAATAAAAAGTACCCTAAGTCCTATTCCGGGCTCTAAGCTACCTTCCTACCAATTTTCAGCCAAATCTGTTCAGCCGTTCTTAAGTTATAAGTGGTGTAACTAACACAACTTGCTTTTATATATATAGATTGTTTATAAGCTTCCAGTGATTCCTCTTTAAAGTATCATTTCCTGGTGAGGAATCAGCCTTGCTTAGAATTTATAGACTGTCCTTCCCCATAATTTGGTTTCCTCTATTTTGCATACAACAAGACATCAGCTAGACGCAAACATAAATAAGAGGCCAGAAAACTTGACCTTTCCCCACCAAAAACACTTTGGCCCCTGGCTACTTCATTGCGCTTAGTTTGCCGCACAATGGAGAGAAAAATGCCAGGGCTTTCTGTGTGACCCAGCCAGTGCAATTGACCAAAGAGCCAAAGAGCCAAGGAGCCAAGGAGCCAAGGAGCCGAGGAGCAGGAACCTCCTAGTAGTCAGCGTTCAACATCATAAACATCGTCTCCGTCTGCGGTTGTCGGCAGTTACTTTTCAACGCCAATTTTGCTCTTCAAAACGAGCCATCTCCTGTTGCACAGAGAAAAATTCAAGAAATGATTTTTATTGAAAGAAAAAGTTTACTAAATTTTACCCTTCATCTTATTTTTTTTTTTTTTTTAATAGTTAGTTTTGGAAATTTCCTGTTTCTTTTAATTGATTTTTTTGTAATTAAGGTTTTACGAGGTTTTTAAATGGTTTCCTCTGTGTAGAGCGTTACTTTCGGTTTGAGCCTGGTTTTCTGGTTTCGGCTGCCGTGGGCGATGCATCTTGAGACGCGACTTGTTGCCCCATTGTTGGCTTACCCTTTTGAGCGGAGAATACGAGAATGTGGTTGCAGGAGAGAGAACTGAATCTTCGGGCATATCTTTTGCCACTTTAACGTTAACGAGCTGTTGACTTCTTTCTGCTCTTGCCGGCAGTTGAGTTGCCAACTTCTCCAGTTCTCCGGTTTGTCCGCCATCATCATCATCTGGCTGCCTGCTTTGCCTATCCATCATTCTCTCATATTTCCCCCGCTGCTGCTGCTGCTGCTGCTGCTGCTTTAATGCAAAATATCCTGGCAAGCCTTTCAGTCTAGTTGGCATCTCTAGCCGTCTCTTTCGCCCGCACTGCAGCCTCTTCTGTCTCTTTCGCCGTCTCAACTTGTCTGGCCAACTGTCGAAGCTTTTTGCTGATAGGGTCTTTTTACCAGACACTGTTGTTTTATTTTCGTTTGTTCGGGCCTCATTTGTTATGCGAGACATTTCGAAATGTTCTCGTAATTAAAACATGAGAATATTTCCATAAATACAAACATTGATTCAGCCAGATGGGCAAACACACTGCAATGACACATCATCATTCTCAATCCGTCCGCTCGATCTTCGCCTGTCCGTCTGTCTTCTTTCTGTCTTTTCTGTTTTTTGTTTACAACGCGTTTGTTTAAAATTACAAATAACTAATTTAATATGCCTAACATGCAACGTCTCCCTTCGCAGCATGTGGCGCTCGACTGCCTCGCAGAAAGATGGAATTATTCAGTTAATTGAATTATAATTGTGGACGGCAGGCAGCCCCCTTTTCCCCTTCCTCCCCTTCGTGCTGTTTCCCACTCCCCACATTTTCCCCACCGACCACTCCCTCGCATTGATCACGTCGATCATGTCGAGCAGTCAATCAATGTTCTAAAGATATATTCATATTCTCGGTGCCTGCCCGTGGGTGAAATGTGTATGGATTCCGTGTAGCCGCAGGCAGAGTTCATTGGAAATGCCAGTGCAGTGAGGGATCGGTTATGGATAAGATATTGTTATGATCCGGGGAAATTATAGAAATGCTATTGAGCTAAAAGCGTGTTAGGTAACATGGAATTTAAGTGAAATATAAAATATGACTAACATTTGTAAATGGGATTACTCAGCAAATACTAAATATTAGGAATGCAGAGTAAGATACAAGCCAGACAAGCATTAAAGATCTGACTTTAGTTCGCAAAAGGGAGTAAAAAGGTTAGATAATCCAATATATAGTAGAACATGGCCAGACAATGAAGCTAACTGAGTTTGGAACTCCTGTCGAAGCGAGTCAATAGCCCAAATCAGTTTGCACCTTTCGCTTGGCCGACTCGCCCCTGTGATTCAATTCAATTCGATTGGAGCCAACTTTTTGTGGCACGTCGGCAATGGCGTCAGTGTAAACAACAGTGGGCATCCACCTAAGGCGGATCACGCACCGGGGCACCGAGCAGAGGCCACAGTGGAACCACCCGTTGAGTGCGGAGTGGAGTGGAGCGGTACAGTGGAGCGGTTGGAGTGGCACATCAGCAGCAGCCGACATCCCTTCGTGCTGTTTCCTGCCCGAAAAACACGCGCTGATTGCTCTGGCTGTTGAAATGCCCTGGCTGTTGGAAAAATAAACCAAGAGCCCAGGGAAAAGGCATAAATTATTTGATGCCTGCCACTGCCACCTCCGCCGAATTAAGGTGACCATATGTGGCCGGAGGGCACCCGACTGAGCGCAAGAGCAAGTGAAGCAAGAAAAACAGTTCATAAAATCAACAAACAGCAGAAGCAGCAGCAGAAGCAGAAGCCAAACAAAGATCCGCAGAAGTCGAGAAATGGGAATCGGAATTGGAATAAGAATTGGAATAGGAATCTCGAACAACATTTGAAATGCCATGCAGGGAATTCCTGTGTTGCCTTTCGTTGTTGCTGTTCGTGTTTCAAATAAACTTCGAAACGCATAAATAGTTTACAACAATAACAGGGAATCAGCAGCAGAAGCAGCAGCAGCGGCAGCGTTTCCCGAGAAGTAAAGAAAAACAGGAACAAGTGCGTTGATTGCAGCCAGCCGCCTGTACTTTGCAGTGGGAGGTGGGCGGTGGTCGGAAAATCAGTGAAAAACCGACGGGAAACTGGGTGGGGGATTCGTGTGGGCCGAGCTATTTTGAAAGCGACTGCCGAGTGCAGAATGGAATGGAGAATTCAGCATGCAGTTGCATCTGCAGCATACCAAGAGTTCATTGGTTCCCACTTCCTCTGCTGCAAGCACCCCTCGCAAATTTCCTTATTCCACTCTGCTCATTTACATTTT